TAAAAACGTAGGATCCTTGCTCAAAATCGTGGTGCAAAGTAGTGGGGTTGACTTTCATTACTGCAGTGATTGTTACTAAGTGAAACACACTATGAATAATAAGGCATGTGTTTTTGCAGTATTGAAGTTGTGGTTCGCACTACCTTGTGTATATACATATATTCGTCTATCGTATGTTCCTTGGGAAGTCTGAATATCAAAGTTGATCTTGGGCTATTTTCATCGATTTTGTCTAAGTTGAGAAGGAAAAGATTTTTTGAATCTAGTGTATTCTGTGTGCGATTTTTTATTCCTTATTTTTTATTTCTCATAATTTAGGCATAATTGCATATGATTTCCTTCTTGAACATGATCTATTTGAGTCTAAAATTTTGTGGAGAATATATGCTCAAATATGAAATCTGATTTCTTTCCTAAATTTCGAAATAATGTGAGAGGTTATTTGTGTGAGGAGTGTTATTGTGTTTGAATTTGATTTTTGGAGGGATAAGTTGCCGTTTTTTTTTCTCCTAAAACCGCTCAAACTGTCCTATCTCTCTCCCTTGAACCACGGAAACTGCCTTTTTGCAGTTTTCAATGTCAGAACATTACATATCTCACGTCTCTCTTCACTTTTTCATTATTACTCAAATTCTCTCCATCTCTCTCTCTCCTTGTCCAACATTCTTATCTTCTCCAAACCTTCTGAAACCCTATTTTCCAAACTCAATCGCCGTTCTTTGACCATGGCTGGAAGTAAGGACAATTCGAAAAAGTGACTCAAGAAGCACAAGGAGAAGAGATTGAAGCGCCGTCGTCTCTCATTCACCGCTAGTTCTGCCCGTGAGCCCTCTCCTCCGCCGGCAAAATCGCCATCACCCGAGTCGCAGCCTCCTGAGAAGTCTGCTTCCGTGTCTGCAACCACGTCTGGTTCACCATCCAAATCCGACAATGCTGAGAAGAACTTTGAGATCTCTCCTCTTGCCACTGGAGTTCCTGGGCTCTCTGGGTTCAACGAAACCCCTGCAGTTCTTGGTCAGGGGGAGTCGTCTGCAATTCCAACTTTTGTGACTAAGTCAATCTCAAAGACCACGACCACCGAGGGTGAGAAGGATGATATTGCGGCTACCACTGTTGAAATTCACTCAGACCAACCGTCTCCTCCTCCTAAGGCTCTTGTGCGGCGCTCCACTCGCCGTCGTGGGAAAGAATCAATTGATGTACCGCTTGTTCCCCTGAGCTAGAGGATGATGCATATGATCTTGAGATCACTTTCACCAACAGGTTCTATACTGAGGCTGCTCATGTTCGCTTTTTGAGTTTTCGGTCTTATGCTTTCTGGTCTGAGCACCCTATCAAAGATGGTAAGTACTCTGAGTTGGGTATTTTTGGTATGATTGAGTCTGTTGGTCTGTCAAAAACTGTGACAGACCTTCAACCGTTTTGTGGTCAAGCTGTGCAAGAATTCTATGCTAATCTCACCCCTGCTGTGTTTTCCTCTGATACCCCTCGTTTTCATAAGTTGTTCCTTCGAAACCGTGTTATTGATGTTTCACCTGCTCTTTTCAATGCTCATCTTGGTATTCCCTCTGACATTGATAGTTCTTCCCTTACTGAAGTGGATCTAGATGCCATGACCAAGGTTCTCACTTCTGGTCAGTTGGATACTTGGCCTGGTTCTAACCTTCCTGTCAGTTCTCTTTGTCTGGTTGCCAATCTTTTGCATAAGATTGGTGCTGGCAACTGGACACCCACTTCGAACAAGACTCTTCTTACAGAGTTGCAAAGCAAGGTCATCTATTGGGTCATGATAGGCAAGGTCTTTAGTTTTGGTGATATTGACTTCGACATTCTTCAATCTTTTGTTGTCAACTCTGAGTCTCGTAAATCTCTACCATTTCCTTGTCTCATCTGGTCCTTTCTGTCTGCCCTCAACTTTTCTGTCAACCCCCGTTATCAAGACACTCTTGAAGGTCCTGGGAAGGCACTTACTGTGAGTGCTCGGACTCTTAATGACAAAGGTGTGTCCAAGGCTTCAAAAGAGCTTGCTCCTTCTTTGGTTCCCAAAAATTGGGATGAGTTTGTAACTCAGCAGCTTGGTGAATGGGATGCGATGGCTAAAAAGGTTGCTGCTCAGCAGGCCTATCTCAAACAAGTGCTGCATGCGGTTAAGGGTACCAAGCGCAAGACTGTGGGGACAGGCCCTTCGGCATCCCGTAGTTCGAAAAAGTGGGAGAAGGGTAGTGCTGCGAAGGATGTTGAAGGCTCAGATTCTGGGGGAGATAGCACTGATGATGCCATTGCGAACTATTATGATGATGATAAGGAGTAGTGATGTTTTTCTTCTTTTGTGTGTTTTGATGGATGTAGGGAGGTCTTTATGTAATAAAGAACCTCGTACTTGTTTGCTTTTGTGATGTGGTGATGTGGTTTTGTTGCTACTATTTTTAGTTATTTTGGGTGTAGATGTTCTGATGCTTTTGATGACTGCTTATTTTGTGTGAATGGAAATTGCTAGTCTCATTCTGTTGAGTTGTGATGGCTGCAGGTCCTGAGGGGGAGAACTGTGATTATACACAGTGATTATTTTGTGTGATATTGTGAACTGACCCCTCAATGTGGTTCTTTTGTCTGGTGCTTGTTTATTTTCATTATCAGGGCTCTTAATTCTCATGTTTTCGAACTAGATGCCAAAGGGGGAGATTGAAAGATATTTTTAATTTGGCTTTAGTTCGATAGTTCGAACAAGCATCAGGAACCACAGAAAAAGGGAAGATCTCGAATTATTTTATTTCCTTAATTAAGATTATTTTGTATTCCATATATAAGACATCGTGGATCTTATTATGGTATTTTATCTTGTAGGAAATCGGACGTGAAGGAGATACAAAGAGAAGAGGCGTGCATAATGAGGAGATCTAGGAGAGAGAATAGAAGATTCACTTACCTAAGATAAGTTATAACTTTGGAAGAAAATCAAGCTTAAGAGTCCTATGCCTTGAAGAAGACTCCAACCCTAAGGAGTTTGAATAAATACCCTAGAGGAAGCTCTTATTGCGGCTGCTGAGATTAGAGAGATTTTTAGAGCAATACTCGAGCTTCACATTTCTGTTCTATTTAGTTGTACACAGTTCAGTACAAGAGTTCTTACAAACTCAAGGACTGAAGCTGTTTTGTTTTGGATTTCTTTGTTTCTTCAAACTATCTTTTACTTTTACACTTAGGGAGTAAGTGTAGGATAAAAAGTCCACGGGACGTGGCCGGAGAAATAGTTGATAGGATCTGAGTAGTGTTGACTAGACTTGAAGGGAGTTCGAGTCTTTGTAAGTCCAAGCTATGTTCATATTTGATCTATCAATGAAACAACTCTGAGGGGAAGTGGGATACTTCCCTGAAGAGTTTTTAATCTTCGGTTTATTGCTTCCGCATTATTCAGTTCTTAATTCAGTTCGTACCACCCATAAGCGCACTCCGTGATAATTATACGTTCCACACTGGTTATAAACGAAACATATACTAAATAACAGTATATTTTAATATACAAAAGATATATTAGTTGTATACATAGGATATAAAAAAAGAATAACAAAAGATAAATCAATCTTGTCATTATATACAGAATATATACATAAAGTATACAAAAAAAAGCATTAGGGGCTAGGTTTAATTTTGAATAGATCCTGTTCTCATCGATGACCATATACATACATATACATATACATACAATTAATTCTTCCTAGCTTCATGTCCATTTTCCTCATTCTCATCTCGTGAGTTTATCCTATCTCTATTCCTCTCCTCCCTTCTTGTACTCGAGCACCAGCAGCCAAAGGGTCTTCCGCATTTGAGTAGTCTTCGAGCAGCCCATCGCGAACACTTTTCTCCCGTTGAAGAAACCACCGGTGATGGCCCCACATACAAACAACACCGCGCCGAAGAGCTGTCCGGAGAGCCGAATATTCTTCACTTTCACTCGCTTCTGCTTGAATTTCATCTTCGAATTCCAAATCCGGTGACTTCATATTTTTTTTCCGATCGACCCCAATTTCTTGTCGAACTAAAATTTCTTTTGTACAAGGATTGGGTGCCTATTAGATTTCATATTCCTTAGACGGGAACTCGACCTCCGATGAGGTGAACTTTCGGCTCCGATAGATTGGCTGCTTCCAAAATTGGTCTTTGTCATTGTTGTTGAGCTTCATAGGAGATAAAGTTTTGCGGTTAATGAAAGGGTTCGGTGTTGACGAGGCCATGGTGTTAGTGGAAGAGTAATTATGTGAGAGAATTCTATTATCATATTACTTTGGCAAATCTGCAAGTAAAAAGTTTAATTGGATTAATATTGCTAATACTTATAATTTGAGATTAATTGTGTAATAAAAATCAAATATATATAGTGCATTTTGAATGATTTTCTCAGTTCCATATTAATGCAAGTGTGCACGTCCTTGGCCTGACGGATCGGCCCGTTTAAAATATCCTATATTATATATAATTGCAACTAGAGATGTTAAATGGTCTTTGGCCCGACTGGCCTGCCCGTTTAGCCCAGAAAAAAAGAGGGTTAAGTCCTGTTATTAGTAGCCTTTTTTAAACAGGGCTTTTTATGCCCGGACCATTTAGCCCGAAGCTCGGTAGGGCTAGCCCGAAACCAAATAGAGCTGACCCGTTTAACTAGGATTGAGCAGTGTAAATGTTTGCATCAAGTAAGTGATATGCTCTTAATATATACTTGTACATTACAAATTTGGTATTTCACCTCACATGTAAATATGAGTTTTAATGAATTATTATGATTTTGAAAGATAATTAACAATATTATTATTATTATTATACATCATACCAAAATATTTAAGCCAATCAAAACGCTAATTGAAAACACGTAAAACATAGTGATAGGCAGTAAATATTAAATTGTCGTTGAAAATAATTTTTAATTATCATTTTTTTATATATATTTTACTCTTTATTTTTGATTTTTTTATATATTACTATTAGTATTATTATTATTATTATAGCCAACTGAGCCCGTTTAACTAAAATCTGCTATAGTTAGGGTTAGATCATTTTTTGGTAGCTTGTTTAAACCCAAGTTTTTTAGACCCGGACCATTTAACCCGAAACCCGCTAGGGCTAGCCCGAAACCGCTAGAAATAGCCCGTTGAACATCTCTAATGGCAACTCTTTCCAAGAGCCCAAAAAAACGTTAACACCTGAAAATGCACGAACTAGAGGAGAATATGAGTTTTCCATTGATCTCAATCCACAAGACCCAACTCTCCCCTTACATAATATTACTCAAACAGCAGAGCAGAGATGGTACCATAAACAACAAACCTATTTTTACACGCACAGACAAAAAACACAGACAAAGTCTCCAAAAGCCACCACATTATAACAACACACCCATGGCCGCTTTTATTACTTAAGGGCACAAAATCACAACTCCATCACAGATATACGTGAGATGTGGACATATTTTGACCCTTAAAACACAAACACAGACTCGATCAATAGTTAAAACAACATTAGACACAACACTTAAGATTAAAACCTTCTTCCTCATCTCTGCTTCAAGGCCCATCTATTACTGGGCCGGGCCATCCGGGCCCTTTCACTTACAGTTGCACGGGTTGCAGGTGCAGTTGTCGCCGCACTTGCAGCCGTTATCGGCGCCGGACTCCATGGACTCTCCACCATCAACATATCTGCAAATCAGGCAATAAAAGAACAAAATTATCAGCGATTCAATAAAAGATTCTTTTTTTTTTTTTTTTAATTGAGGATAGTAAAATTAATTAGATGTACTTATCACAATTCACAACTGATTAATTTTTTTTTAAAAAAAAAAATTGCATAATCAGTTAAGAGATCCGACCCAGGTTTTGAATGAAAAATATCAAAAAAAACAACCAAAAATTCAAAAAAATAAAATGGAAAACGGAACACATACGTCATTTTAGGGGCGACGCCAAGCACGGTGGCCACCGTAGGGGCGGCAGCCTCCGAGTAACTCAAGTCCGGGTACATCTTGCACCTGCAAATACATATTCAAATCAAAACACATCGATTATATTCGCCGATCGCTATTTTTTCACGATTAAATTCCGGCGATATGAAGCTCCAACAAGACCAATCGATCCCCAAATTGAGGAAAAACAAAAAAAAAAAATCAAGCAAAACTTCAAACAGAAATTCAAAAGATTTACCCTCCGCAGCCGTTGCCACAGCCGCAGTTAGAGCCGCAGCCACAGTTTCCTCCACAGCAAGACATCTTTGGTTGATTTTTGAGCTTGAGAATATAATTTATTTTTTTGCTGTGATTACTGATATTTTGCAGACAAATGTGTGGTTTTGGGGAGTGTGCTCAAGGCGTAGATTTATAGTGGAGTGATAGTGTAGAAGACGATTGATCGGCCGTACACGTGGCGAGATCGAGCGGTGTAGGCGTGTCCTCTTAAGTCGGTCCACGCCTATAATCTGCCTTTAATTATCACCATCCAATTTTTTGATACGAAGGAAAAAGTATAATCTGAACAAATTATTGTGAAAATCGTAATCATTACTTGTGTTGATATTTGATACTATATCATTGCTTTTTTCTATTTACTAGTATGTAACTCGTGTCGATGCACGGGTTGTATTTATTTTGGAGAATATTAAAAATTAAAATGTATTAATAAATAAAAGAGTGATAATTCGTAGTAAAATCATCAAACCATAAAATATTCTTCATGCAAAAAAATATAATATTTAAACTTTCTTGTACACAACATTATTTGTTCAATAACTGAGCAACTCGTCGTCCTCACAAACTAATATTTTCAACACTTTTCTATTACTTACACGTGAAACAAACAACATAATTGTCCCTGACTAAAAATCAATTTCTTTAAGAACATGCCAACGTACAATAAATTTTGACTTTGACTCTTCTTGATCTATTACTTAACATGTCAACGTACAATAAACGTTGACCTTGACTCTTCTTGACATATTACTTAAAGGCATAACAACATAAAATTGATCGTGATAAAAAAAAAAAAAAAAGATTTTTTTAGGAACATGTCATTGCACATCTCTTATATATTACTTAAATGTAAAAACAACAACATATAATCGGTCGTTGCTAAGATCCGATTTATTTAATAATATGTCAACGCACATAAAGACTGACCATGATCTTAAATGAAACCCTAATATTAGAAGTAACTGGCGCTCTAGAACTTAAATGAAATCCTAAGATGAATTTTTTATAATATGATAATTTACTTAGGCAGTCAGACAATGAGCTGTTAGTTTAATATCGATTATACTTGATTAGCTATTCACTAATATTTCTATATTTTTTATACAAAAAGACTGACCATGACTGTTAAATGGAACCCCAAAATCAGAAGGAACTGGTGCTGCTGGAACTTAAATGGAAGTCTAAAATTGATCTATTTATAATATGATAATTTATACAGCAGTTGAACAAATGAGTTGTTAATTTATCATTTTAATATCGATTATACTTGATTAACTGGTTAATATTCACTAATATTTTTATAGTTTTTCATTTTATTTAAAAGAACAATAAACATGTATGTTTAAAATATTAAAAACACTAAACTGTTATACAACGTGTGTAGATTATCTAAAATATAATATATTATTTTTAAAAAATGTAAAGTCACCCTTTTAAATTATTTTATAAGTAAAACATGTCTAAGAAAAAATTCAACACCCACACATATATACACAACATGTTAAAATCCTCCCTATATATTATTCCCGAATGCGCTGAGCCTACATGGCTGCTTCTGGTGTTTCGGAATCCTACTTGGCAAAGAATCATGCTTCGTAATTAGGTTTGGACAAATAATATTGATATATTAATAATTAACAATCTAGGTTCGGACATTCTATAAATATGAATAGCTAACTTAGGTATTTTATATCACTTGTACTAATATAACCTTTTAATTCTTTGTAATTTTACATAGTGAGACATTAAGTGACTAATATATCCCTACTTTTGATTTGTTTCCTTTAATTAGTTATTTAATTGTAAATGTATTTTAATAGTTGATAACTTTTGTATTTCTTATCGGTTTTACATATATAGTATATCAAATTAATCATCTTTTGATGATCTTCGATTTGACATCCATATTGTATATATGAAATAAATAAATTATATTTATCTTTATAATAATAAAAAATAATAATATATATTAAAATTCATTAAAAAAATAAAATTATTTCTCAATTGATATATTTATGTTTAATGTAGTTATATGTTGTAAGTTAAAAATAATTATAATATAACACAAGTAAGTCGCACAAATAAAAAAGTGTCATACTAAATATATAATAATATATATATTTTTATAAAAGGTACTTAAATTTTCAATTACTTTTTCTCATTAATTTTAGATTTTAAGAAAAAATTAGCAAGCACCCGTGTAATACACGGACGTTGTACTAGTATACAAAACAATACATGTGAATAATATGTATTAAAGTCTAAAAATTATTAGAAATTATATCTACAAAAATATGTATGAATAATACAAAACATTAAATATTACATCACACTAATTTTATGAGAGAGATTATATACAGTAGATATAAAATATAAAACATTAGTGATTAGATATTAATTCACGCTAATTTTTTCAAGCCGAACATTTTTTAATTGAATGTGTGAGAACTTGTTATATATTTTAAAACTGAACAATTTTTAATTGGAGAGCTTTCCTATTATATGTGTGACAACTTTGTAGGTAATAAATTTATATATATATATATATATATATATATATATATATGTATATATATATAGATTTGGCTATATATATATATATAGATTTGGCAATAAATTTATATTTTGTGTATACAAAAACAAAAAATCGATTTACTATACAAAATTTTGAAAATTTTCCTTTTACAAACAATTGATAAAAAGAATACCAATAAAGGGAATTGGTGTATATCTCAAAAAAAAAAAATATTTGTATATATCTCATATAAAATCATTCATTTTTAAAATATGCTAAAATGAAAAATATATTTAAATATTAATATAAATATATTTAGATATTAATATAGATTTATATTTTGTAATTGTTGGTTCTAATAAATATGATAAAATAAAAAAGAATCCTCACAAATGAGAATTCCAAAATTGACGCCATGTAAATTTAAATATTATTATAAATTTTTTTTTTTTATTTTTTTTTGTGTATGTACATATATGATAATCCAAATCAATGATTCTAATTAATCTGTTAAAATAAAAAAGAATCCTTGATAAATAAGAGTTCCAAAATCGTCTACATATAATTATTTACATAATCTTTGCCTACAAAACTACTATCAACGTAATTAAAGAAAACCAAGAATTTACTAAAACAAACACAAACCGAAAACCAAGTTATATGAAAATTATGCAATTAATGATTTTTTTTATTTCGATTATATTATTTTATTTCCATCTATAGTAGGTAATTAATGTTTTCGGCGGAAAATGCTCATAAAATGTTCGGGCATGAAAAAATCATATTTTATTAAAAACCTAATTGTAAACAACATTATTAGTTTGATTATTGGGCACACTACAATAAAATGATAAAATTCCAATGGAAATCTATTTCAAGAGAAATTATTCCAATGACAATTCCAACTCCAAAGGATATTTCAATACTATTATTTCCGTTGAAAATTTTTGATGGATTCCAACGGAAATTCCAACAAAAGTATTCTGTTGGAATGAATTTTCCAATGGAATTTTCGTTGGATTTTGACGATTCCAACGGTGGATGTTTCAACGGGGTGGAAATAAAAATTCTAAACGATTCCAACGGTGGATTTTTCAACGGGGTGGAAATAAAATTCTAACGAAATTTGCATATTCCAACGGAAATTCCTACGGTAAAAAAAACATTGGAAATATAGCCGTTGGAATAATCAAATTTCTAAGATTGACACTGATTCTTGTTTATCGTCATGACAATATAAATGAATGTTTATCTAAAAAACTTAATATTTAAAATGTAGTGATCGTGTGTTATTTTTTTAATTTCGTGATTGATGGACTCTTTTATTAATTAGTTGGTTTGAATCAATATATAACAAATTTTGTTGCCAATCGTTATTAGAGTTTTTAAATTAATTTGTGTAAATGCATAAATAAAAAGAGACCTAAACTATGAAAATTGTTTCATCTTTTGAAATCAAATAAATGACAAACACTATCTTTTAAAATAAATTATGATAATGATTATAACATTGTATTATCAAAATCGATAAGGTATATAAAATTCGTTTTCCTTTTCAAATTGATAATGAAGAAAAAAGTCTAACTGGTGAAAAGATGATATATACAAATCATGATTTTAGAAATCTGATATATACAAACCTTAGCATGCTGTTTCAAACAATTTATTAATATAATAATAGGCTGAATGAATTATGATTCTGATTCATGCAAAGAAAATTTTGAACAGATTTCTAAAATCATGATATATACAAATCATGATTTTCCTTGGAGATTTATTCGGATTTCCAAATTGTTTGGAAATCACGATTTCTAAAATCATGATTTGTTCGGATTTACATTCGGATTTCCAAATTGTTTGAAAAAATAGGAGATTTATTCAGATTTTGATTCTTTATTGGTTACCAATATAAAAGTTTTTGATGTTATTCCTAAAAAAAAACGAAAGAAGTTGATTTACTATTTTTAGGAGATAATTAATGAAAGTGACGGGAAATTGTTTCTATATTTGATTTATGTTAATCCTTATTATATAGGATTAACATATATGTTAATATATATGTTAACTTATATATTAACATATAAGTAACGTATATGTTACTTTCCCGTAAATACTAATATATATATAAATTATTAACCATTATTAGATATTTCAAAAATATTAATCCATATATAAACAGAATTTTAATCGATATAAAAGTTAGTTACCTATCATTCAAATAAATCATATTATTTAAATTCTATCCATTCCAAATAATTAACAGAATTTTAAATAATTTCAAATATACTTCTATAGCATTCCAAATAAAATTCATACTATTTAAATTCGAACATTTTGTACCAAAAATAAATCACCCACTTTATACCACAAAATCGGACATTTATTATTAACAACACATTTTCTACGAAAAGATAAAAATGGCTATCAGATACTTAAAAATAAAATCATCAACTTTATACCAAAATTAGATTTTTTAATTTTGTCAACTTTATACCATAAATTAATTAAG